CCGCCGCCGCCCGCCGCCGCGCCACGCCCAGCGCCAGCATCTGGGACACCGACAAGAGCCCCCCGCGCTACGGCCGTATGGGTGCCGCCATCTTGCCGCCCTCTGACCCCATCGCGCGCTCCCGCCTCATTGGAACATTGCGCAGGAAGGGTAGAAGAGAGCTCAGGAAGGGGCGGGGCCTACAGGGCGACCGGCTCCAACGTCTGCGCATGTGCGCGGGGCAGTTTCCCCCACCCCCGCCAGTGGGGAACGTGGCTGCGCGACCCGCGTAACGTCAGAAGCCAGCGGCTCAGTCTCGCGGTGCCTCATATTTAAAGAGACAGAGGCCGCAGTATTTAAATAAGGGGCCAGAGTCCTAAATAGGAAATGATTATATTGGAAGCTCTAAATGATGGTATTTTCCGAAAAACTGAAGTACCCTGGGGGAAAAAAAAGCATGCAGACAAGTCTCGAGAGTGACTTAGGTTTTACATGTGTGGCATCAATTAACTGCTTCCAAAAATTTTGTGCATTTTGAAATGCAAAACCCGAGCGCTCCTGGTTCAGCAGTGAGATCTTTTATTAGACCAACTAAAAAATTAAGCAAAAAAATTATCTTTTTTAGTTGGTCTAATAACAGGTTTCATCTCTGAACCAGGAGCGCTCGGGTTTTTTGCGTTTCTTCTCGTCTCGGACCAAGACGGCTACCAACTACGTCCCTTGTATATTTTGAATGCTTAGTGCTGTCTCTGCCTAGGCTGCAGCGTGCGGTACAGACCTCCCCTTCTCTTGCACTGGCACTTCCCTTTCCCCTGCCTGTGTTTTTCCACTGGAGGGCGTGAAGGAGCTGGATTTCATTAGACTGTGGGTGCAAACCGCTCCAGCACTGCCACAAATCACCCCCAGCAAATCTCCTGATATTAACATATCTTGCAAGATGCCCTCAGCAATCGCCACGTTCAGCAGCTCTGGCACCAGGAGCGCTGCTGGGCAGGATTTCCCTTTTTCAACATAGCTTTTGTGGCTGAAGCAAGCAGGCCAGAATGAAGCAGCTCTTTTCACTTGTTCTTTCGTTTGTTTTTTTGACGAGAGACGCGATACAGAACATGGAAACGGCGTTTTCAAAACCACTGACCCGTTTCCCTAGATTACACCACACAAGCATTTCTTTCTAAATTAAATGCACCAACATATTTGCTACAATAACGGAGGAACCACCAAAGAAGCTGTGTATATTACAAAGCAGATCAAACAATACAAACTCAAGGTTCAAAGCGCAAAGGAGCAAATAAGAAAGGGATACACCAATTAGGAATTTAATTAAGGAGGCATTAGTTAAGCAGTAGCATGCCGAGCATCTGCCACTACCATAACAAGGACAGGAGTCACGGTTACTCAATCCCTGTCTTTGTAACAAACTGCATGTCACTGTGCATAACAAGCAAGGACTGAGTGCAGTCCCCAGTAGCGCTTTGGTATAAGTGACAGCAGGCTGGTCCATCAGTTTAGAACAGTTCAGACCCTAACTTGATAGGGTGATCTGCACTGCAGCTCTGCCTTGCACCTCCTAAAAAGTCAGTGAGGCATGAGGCTGTTTCAGAGGAGTCGAGATTACACACAAGAACTGTCCAGTCTGGAGACAGTGTCCATCACACATGCAAACAAGCAGAGATGAAGCGTCAGAGTTTTTCTGGTCCCATGGGATCAGCTGATCTTGCTCTTTGTGCTCTCGGTACAGCGATTCAGAATGAGAGCTTTGCTGGGTCGGGGTGGGATGGCAGGCTGAGCCTTGGACTTGCTTTCTCTGCGTTCTGTGTTCTCGACTGCAAATAAAAAGACAGGGGCATGAAGGCTCCACGCAACACCTGTGTTGGACGTACCTGTGCACTAAGGCTGGGGCTTTGAAAGGAGGCAAAACATCCTACTCCCACCAAATTTTGACCCCAACCCCTTTTTGATCCTATGCCACCCAAGTCAATGGTGCACAGTCAGGCCTTAAAGTGCTTTCATGTAAATAGCACATTCGGGATGAAACCATATGGGATTTAGTGGGTGCTTGCCACACAGAATCATAGAAAATGAGGGTGGGAAGAGACCTCAGAAGGTCATCTAGTCCAACCCCCTGCCCCAAGCAGGACCATCCCCAACTAGATCATCCCAGCCAAGGCTTTGTCTAGCCGGGTCCTGAAAACCTCCAAGGATGGAGCTTCCGCCACCTCTCTGGGTAACCCATTCCACGGCTTTACTACCCTCCTAGTGAAAGTTCTTCCTAATATCTAACCTAAACTTCCCTTGCTGCAACTTCCTTGTTCTGTCATCTGCCATCACTGAGTACAGTCTAGATCCATCCTCCTTGAAACAACCCTTGAGGTAGTTGAAATTTGCTATTAAATCCCCCCTCATTCGTCTCTTCATAGATTGTAGGATTGGAAGGGACCTATTAGATCATCGAGTCCAACCCCCTGCCCTGGGCAGGAAAGAGTACTGGGATCAAACGGCCCCAGCTAGGTGGTTTGTCTCTTCTCCACATGACTCCTCTTAAAACTGTTCCCTCCCACTTTTTAAATAGTCAGATATTTTTCTGTATTTTTCTGTGTGCTTTTATACACAGGCAGGTATGGAGAAAGCCCAACCCTAATGCCCTACCAAAATAAAACTATGCATGCTTTCCCCACTGGGGGAGAGGATGGGAGAGCAAACAGCGTATGACAGATGGGCAGCCACATTGCTTAAGGTGCCAATGAAAGGTCTTCAGCACCCAGGGATGAGTACTTTGTATGAACCTTCCCTGAACTGAATAGGCTGCTCCAGGTGATGGAAGCCTAGAGACTGCAGAGATATCTGCCAACCCAAGGTTTAAAGGGGTCCCTGAGAGTTTCCTACAGCAGAACACTCATTGCTACCTGCTGTATGGGGCCTCGGCCATCAGTCTAGTGCACTGAAACTTACTGATGGTGCTGGTCTTGTTCAGGAGATTGTCCTTCAGCTTCCGCCGGCTCTGGATGTATATCTTGCTGTTCCGCCTGTAGGTCTCCTGGCTGATCTGCTTCCGGCTCTGGTTGTGGATGCTCTTGGCATTTCGGATAGTGGATCTGCACAGAGAAAAAAGATGATGTCAACTCTTACTATTGTACACATAACTGCCTCCATCTCCCTACTCCAAGCTCCTCAACACAGGACATTTCTCTTCCTGACAGGCTGGCAGAGCTGTGGACAGAGCATCCCCATCTGGTCAGCTGATGTCTGTTCCATATTATCTCTGGCAAAAGGGCAGTGAATCAATGCCTGCTGCTGTGGGCAGCTTTCTGCAAGGGGTTGTGCAAAATTTGGCAGGCAGTGTCCAACTGCTACAACAATGGTTTGAAAAGGAATGAGTAATTGTGAAGGAAGGGGAGGGACGACTGTATATATAACAACACTGAGCTCATCCCCAGATCTCCAAACACATTGCCAAAGAAGGCAAGTATCAGAGATCTTTTACCTCTTCACCTGTCAAAATAAAAGGACTTGCCCGTGATTTCACATAGCATCTCGCACATGGAAGGAGAGTGGCAGAGCCATATCCCCTGACTTTAAGGCCTGTGTCCCACCCAGTGGATGACACTGCTCCCATGTACATGTCTTTATGGTATATGCTGCAATTCCAAAGGATGCTATTCTTGAATTACTATAGAAATCCATTTGTGCATGTATGTATGCATGCACACCTACAGAAATGTATGCCAGAACCTTGTATCCACACACATGCACATAAATACTCATCCCTTTGACATCAGTGGCAAAACTCCCTTTGACCTCAGTGTTACCAGGACCTAGCTCCAAAAGAGATTAGACTACATGACTGTGAACTGTTTTGAGCATATAGTTGCCCAAGTCCGACCCATCTTACTGAAGAAATGAGAAATGAAAACAAAACTTATGTGAGAAATGAAAATAAAGCACAAAGACACAGTGCCAGGTTCACAGCTGGAAGAAGATGGCATGCTGCCATTGCACTTTCCTCTGGGATCTGGACTGGGACCAACTCACTTCTTCCTCAAAGTATCAAACAGCTGCAAGCAGATGGGTCCAGCTGTCCGTCACTGTTTTTTCTGCACCTTTCTCACCAAGGTATGAGATGATCCATACTCCAGAATTATGCCGCTCTCAAATGTTCAACACACCTCACATCCACAAAAGTACATGTCCCAGTTTTACAGCTGCTCTAACAGGAACAGCTTTCTTCCCAAGAGAAGGTTACATACCCCATGAGGCCTGATTTGCGTGACTAATTCCAGTGAATCTAGGTGACTTATCCAAACTGAAGACAAACTCAAAGCTTTAGACCAGGCTTGTCCAACATACGGCCTGCAGGCTGCCATGCGGCCCTCCAAGATGTTTTCTGAGGCCCAAGGTGTTGTGACGGGAAACGAAAGTAAACACTGTACTTTCATTTCGGGGGGGGGGGG